CGGCAATCTGGTTTGCTGCATTGAGAAGACGCTTGCGCTGACCTTTGGTCAAAATCTCATTCCCCTCCTGCGTGAGGCCGGTCGTAAGAGCGTCTTCAAAGCGGTCAGGTTCTCCCTCAGAGTCTGACGTGCTCTCATCTGCTGATGACGGTCCATCTTCGTGGGATGACTCAGATTGGCCTGAAGAGAACGAGCCATGGCTGTCTGAGTCCGTACTGTCGTCATAGGGCTCCGCCTCCTTGATGGGGACCTTGTGCACGATCTGGTCCAAACCACTGATGGCCTCATCTTCCATGTGGCTCTGCCACAGAGCAAGATCTTCAAGATCTGATTCTGGCTCAGCCAGGGAGTAAAAAGACACCTCAGAGTCATCTGACGATGTCACCTCCTGCTTGGAGGGAGAAAGCTCATCTTGGCTCTGCCAAAGCGCCAACTTGTGTGGATCTGCTCGTAGGACAGCTCGAAGTTCTCGAAGTTCGGAGGTGTTCCAATCCTCTGCCTTGCCATCACCAAGAATCTCGAGAACGGGGTGTCGAGTTGGTGAGAGCTCCGTAGGTGTGCTGCAGCCATCGATCACCGTCATGCCCTTGGCGAACTCCATAGTGACTTTCCAGCGCGCCAGCTCAGAAGGTCCAACCAATGCCGGGCAATTTGAAATCCGGGGATCCTGCTTGGTGTCATCAACCACAGCAACTCTCAACCACGATCGGATGCCAGTTCCTCCCAAGACCACTGGATAGAGACCAGCTTCCGTTGACAGAACTGGGGCTCCAGCACCGAAGCGAAAGGTCTCCTCATGCTCCAGCACCTCATAGGGGAGATCGCGCTGGTCCAGGGCCTGGCGCATCTTGACATGCCACTTTGCACCAGCGACTGCAGTGCGGCATCCACTGTCCAAGATCACTTTATGGGCTGCGTGCTCCAGCATCCAAACGTCCATGGGATCCTCCTCCAAGACCGTCTCGGCGGTGAGTGCGCCATGGTCCATGCTGTAATAGAGCACCTTCTTCAACTTGCAAGCCTTGCAAGAAGCCCAATGAGCGGCACCGTTTGCGCCCCACCTCAAGTTCTGCCACAAGTGAGGACACTTCTCCTGTTCTGGAGTTGGCAGCTCTGATGCTTCTGAAGGTCGAACTCGTCCTTTTCGATCCAAGGCACCATCATAAAGATCTTTCCTGAACTGCTTGAGACGCTTGCGCCGAACTGGCTCAGGGAGATCACTTGTCGAAGCTGGCTCTGGTGCCGGGGTGGTCGACGAGCTCGCTGCCTTATAGCCTCCATCATGCCGCTTGTCTGATCTCTTCAACTTCTCGGCCGTCTGATGCTGGTCCAAGTATCGTGCAGCTTCACGATCTCTTTCTGCCTTCAGCTCCTTGTACAGCTTCCTCTTCTCTTCTTTTGACATGTACGGGAGGATCTCCAGCATATCGGCCGGTGCGAGGTCGGTCTCCATTGCCACGGGCTTCGATCCTTTTGCTTTGCTCTTTGCTTTTGCCAGCTCTTTCTCCTTCTCTTGCAACTGCTCTTGCTTCTTCAACAGCTTCTTCTTCAACTTGAGATCAGACTCATCAACTTCTTCTGCCAAAGCGGAAACCACTGTGCGAAGAGCTGCTTTATATTTGGAAGCCTTCTTCTGAGCAGATGCTTCTTCTGACGATTTGCCGGCACTGAATCCAAGAGATTCTTCTGGCTCTGAACTGCTGCTGGGTGAAGAGACGGCTGAACTGGAGTCCGAAGAATAGGCCTTGATGCGCTGCCAACCTTCCATAAATGTCCAGTTCACCTTGTGCACATTGAGTCCCTTGGTGCTCCAAGTGTGCCTGTTGCCGTCATCCTCCTCCTGCTTGACCTCTTCCTTGGTCCTTGTGCCGCTGCCACGTGCCGTAGGCGAGGTGTCGGTGGTGAAGTTGACCTGCGACTTTGCGGGATCATCTCGTGGAGGGTCAGTCCCATTCTTCACATTTGGACACTCCGGGTCACCATGCCAGTGTCCAATCTGTTTGCATGATGCACACTTGGATTTGGCCTTCCGCTGGTCCTTCGTGCGGTACTCCACGAATCTGCCACCACCTTTCTTGCCCTTCTTGCCTTTGCCCTTGGACTTGGCATCACTATAGCCACGTGCTTTGCGAGCTTCAGCGGACTTCTGCTTGGCACGCCATCCTGCCGCATAGGCTTCTCTCAAGTCCATGCCATCATCATCCCAATCCCAGTCGCCTTCTTCATCTTCGTCATCCCAGTAGTGATCCTGCTGGTATGCCTCCTGCTCCAAGTCTTCATTGTCAGCCTCATCGTCTTCGTTCTCGTAGTAGGCCTCATCATCACCTTCTTCCTCCGGGATGCCCTCCTCGTCATCGTCCCAGTCCGGCTCCGCCTTGACATTGGCGAGATGTGCTCGAGAGGATCGGTGAGGTTTCGGGCGATTTGACTTGGAGGTTGATGAAGTCTTCCATCGGCGAGGATGATGGTGCTTGTCCTGAGGGCGGTACTTGGCCTCATCGAGATGGACATTCGAGCATCTGAACCTGAGAACCTTCTCGATGGCATTGGATGCATACTTGCCGCCAGCACTGTAGAAGATGTCCATCCGCTCCTGCTTGGTGAGGGAAGCACGGGATAGCATTCTCTGGGCAAAACTCTTGTCCGGCAGCGTGGTGCCTGTATCTTCTGCCAGGTACTCTGTTCGAAGTCTCTTCAAGGTGCTGATGTAGGAAGCGACGCTCTGACCTGGTGCACGGCGATACGTCAAGTAAGCTTCCTGGCGCTCTTCGAAGCGTTCGTCAGATCTGGCACCATAGGACTCCTCAAGCAGCCGCATGACTCGGTTGAGTCCTCCTGGCTCCCTCATCTCGGAGACTTGAAGTTGATTCAGGATTTGACGCGGCTCTCCCTGGCATGAAAGATAGATTAACATGGCCAATTCGGCCTCATCCAACCTGTACAGCGCCTGCTGGGCCTCAATGGTGCGCTTCCACTCTTTGAAGTGGGATCTTGAACCCCTGAACATTTCCAGGCGGACTTGACTGAGCGAAGGCTTTGACCTGTCTTGCTGCTTCTTCGCCTGTTGACCCAGAAGGGCACGGATCTCACCTGTGGAAGCTGTGGATGCACTCGAACCTGATGCTCTGGACGGTGTGCGATTTGATGATGTGCGATTCGAAGCAGCCGGAGTTGATGTCACGTTGGACGAAGTCGGATCCGATGACGGCGGACCTGGTGGTGGTCGTAGACGTGGATCACGAGGGTTCCTCTGATACTGCCTCGGGCCACGGCTGTCGTCAGTGAGATTGGATGGTGTCACCGGCGGATCTTCTTCGAATCCCTCTGACTCTTCACTCTCTTCCTGCTCCTCGTAGGTGTACTCGGAGTACTCCTCCTCATCATCATCTTCTCCAGGCGGATCAGGGTTCGGAGGCGCTGCCTTGGACTTCTTCGAAGGAGTCTGTGAGTCGTCACGACCAGATGGACGAGGATCATCTTCATGTCGTTCCTTCTTCTCCTTCTTATCCTTCTTTTCTTTCTTGTCGCCTTTCTCCCCCTTCTCAGCTGCTGAAGGCGGAGGTGGCGTCTTTGTCCTCTGCTCCTTCTTATCTTTCTTCTTGTCCTTGGCGTTGCGGTCTGACTTGTCCCTGCCATCTTTCTTGTCCTTGGCTTCCTTCTTGTCTTTCTTCTCCTTCTTCGCTGCGTCCTTTGGAGCTGCCTTGGCACGAAGTCCATGTCCTTCGGGAAGTGGAACACCTACTGAACGGTGTTGTGACGGGTGCTCCAAAGTCGATGCAGTCGAGTGAGGAGGGCCTTTCTCTCGGCCTTTTGCTTGTTCCGCTTCTCGTCGAGGAAGGTGCCATGATCCATCCATGGTTGATGGCTCATAGGACAACCATTGAGCTCCGGTCCAGAACATCCAAATGCCCGTTTGAGGTGATTGGTACCAGCCAGGCACCTGACTTGACCAGCCAGCAACTGCAGACCATTGTCCGAAGATCTGGTTCCATTGACCTTCATCAAGCACCTCGTAGGCATCGTCCATGGTGTAGGGATGTCGGCCTCGTCCAGCTCCAGCGCCTTTGTCTTTGCCCTTTGAACTCTTCCCTCCATGACCTTTTCCTTTGTGTCCTGGGGAGTGTGCTGGTCGTGGTAGTTCAGGGCGTGCTCGTCCGCGGCCTCGACCTCGATGCGTGGAGCGTCCACGTTCTGTACGGTCTCTGCCGTGTTGCTCCGTGGCTCGGCCACGGGTCGGGGCGCCGCCCTCTGGCTCCGCCGCTGGCGGGGTGGCTCGGCCACCAGGAGTCTCAGCTCCGTCCCATGAGGGAACAGGGATGGTGTCGGCCGTCGTTGCCATCCCTGACCCTAGGTGCGGCACAGCACCTGCCCACCGGTATTCGGTAGGCTCCGCTACCAATGCGGAGATGAATTGGGCTCTAAGAAAATGCGAAAGCTAAAAAGCGCTGCTTTTTGCTGCGTGCGCTTGATCAAGCTGCAGTTAACACCGAACATGCCACTAGACACCGCTGAACATCAACTTTCACAGGTCTCTGCTTAAGGCTAGGGCTAACAAGATTGTACTCATGTGTATATATCGACTGACGGACGGACGGACTGACTGACTGACTGACTGCCTTGCTTCCTTCCTTCCTTCCTTCCTTGCTTGCTTGCTTGCTTTCTTGCTTGCTTGCTTGCTTGCTTGCTTACTTTATGAGTTTCACAGTAAAGCACCAACAAACATTATGTGCATGACATCCAATGCACTACCCTGGCCGTTGACATCCCTACAAGTAGAACTGCATGGATGCCCTGCCTCTTTGCCTGCAAATCTGCCTCACAACAGTAACAGCATTCTAATCTAAACAAAACATAAACAGTTATTAATAGTCCTATCAAATACGGGTCCAAATAGCGAGGTGCTATTGGTCTCCCATAGGCTATTGACCAATCAGTCCATGTTTAAAGCGAGGTTGCAGGAGCTGTATCTTAGATGTTCAATCCCAAAGCCACCAAGGCACACTTCTCGCCAGTGTCTTTATTCAAGAACGCTAGGCCAGAATGATATGCGTTCCTCGGTCTGTATCTGGGGTGATTTTGTCTTGGAGAGGGTAATTCAGAGAGAAACATCTGTCGAACGCTCAAACGGCAAAGTATGAGACAAGATGTGCCAAGTAAAAATGGCAGGGCAAACGGCTCAAACCGTGAGTCATTTGGACTTGGACGCCTCTTGATGTGTCTTCTTGAAATATATGCTGTGACAAGGGCGTGAAGTGAACAAATGCAAACTCTCTGAAGTTGCGAAACCAGGACTTGGCCAATGTGAGAAAAAACTACTGCATCATTTGGTCCAATAACAATGGACTGACTCCCTTAGTGTGATTGGAACATACCGGTGAATCAAACTCTCCAACCGCCGTGAAGCTGCAGCTGATCCGCAGGTCTGGGTCTTCAGATGTCTTGCCAAGTGGCCAGGGTGCTCGGTCCAGGACCCACTGTGCCAGCAAGAACTCCGCGTAGTACACCTGGTTGGCGCCGGTCGGTTCCAGGTTCTGAACCACTGAGTTGCACGACGTATGCACGACGTCCTAGATCGTTCAAGCCTAAGCCAAGCAATCATTGATAGCCAGCTGTTCCGTTCGAAGGTCCACTGAGTTCAGAAACGTTCAGAACCTTCATCCAAGTGATTCATTCATCACTTCAGACCTATACATCTCAAAAATTCCTAACACCTCCCGTATATGAAGAGGTCTTAGACATCCAAATGAGCACCGTAACCGCAAGAATCGCTTGGATTCCGAGGACACGAACTGATGAGAGTGTCCTCAAAGCAGTATGAGAGTGACTTGGCAAACGACCCAAAAGACGAGGCAGCAAAACGGACCCAGGACTCATCGCTGCCATTGACTCATCCAGTCAAGCAGGTGTGATGAGATGGTGTGATCGCCACGTTTAAATGGTGGAGGCCTCTTATGTCCTTTCAGACTGACTGCTGTGAAACCTCGTGATGACATTGTGACTCATGACTACTCGGGAAGAAAGAATGCACGACCAACCCATCGGAGTCCGGATCCCCTAAAACCGCAACACGGTGAAATGCAAGAGTCACCTGGAGTCGACCCGTTCGTACCCCGGAAAATGGAGCACCAGTCGAACCTGTTTTTTGGGCTGGCATCGCTACTAGCAATGTTTGCTACTAGCTTATTGTTACTAATAGCTTCTTTGTTACTACTAGTAAGGCACTTGTTCCTAGTAGCGATGCACTTGTTCCTAGTAGCATTTTTTAGGCACACGACTTCTGTCACAGTCGGGTCTAGGCACATCAGCACGAACAACTCCAACGCCAAATTAAAATTAATAGCAAACATTGTTACTACTAGTAAGGCACCTGTTACTACTAGCGTGGCACTTGTTCCTAAACAACGCTGAAAACACAGTCCCGGGGCCGCCCGCCTCAACACGTGCGCTCGGCGCCCACGGCAGCAGCGATCGCGCGTGGAAGATGTTCTGCGCCAACTGACGGTCCTCATCCTCTGCCGCGCATAGCCATGAAGCCTCAATTGGAGCTGGTTCTCCCATCTAAGCGGAGAAGAGGATGGCATCAATGGCGGTCAAAGCGGGGGATTCGGGCTGACCACTGAACATGCACAGAATAGACTGCGAAGGGGAGGTCAACCTACCAAGGATTGCCATGACCCACAGCCAAATTGGAAAAGATATGAACAGAAAGAACACAAAGATCGGAGCCGATGGTGAAACGGAGCCGATGGTCGGATTGGTCTCCTTCGTTTGGACCAGAAGTTGCAAGCCAAGAAATGCGGAGACCAATCCGACCATGATTCTTCATGATTCCAGCATGCCCGATGGGGTATCCAGACTATCGTTTATATGCCCTATAGGGATCCACATACCCTCTGAGGTACGGTGATTGGAGATACTGTTATGTAGGTTTGGGGGGTCCAAGTACCTTCTCAGAAGGTACTTGGATCCTAGGCATGCTTCACTAGTTAGCATGGGTTGGCGGTTGATGCTTCTACACTCGGATCCAGAAAACATCATAGGAACTGCGGCTTGTTCCCAAACACTCCGTGGTCCATGGATGGAATATAATATGTATGAATATCCATAGTTACCCACATTGTAGGCACATTGTAGGCCTATATGTCATGAATGGAGTGGTGGAGTGCTCGGGGATTGGTACTCTTGGTTACACCTCAGGCGCTCTCTTGCACAAAGACTGACGTAGTCTGCTCAGGCGCTCAGTGTGGATCACTCACAAAACTGCCTCACGGTGCCTTTCCCATCGCTGATCTTCCTAAGGCCCCCGACCAGGAAGAAAAGCAGGCCGCTCCAGCGCTGCAGGCCGCTCCAGCGGTGCACAACCACCATGTGACGCCAGAGAAACTGGAGCTTGTTTTGACCGCTGTTTTTGGTGATTCCGCAGATGGTGATGGATTCCGCCCCCCCCAACACTCCATGGGACCGGAATGAATTGACCCTATGATTTACCCGTAAGACATCTGAAAACCACCATGTTGTAGACGAACATCTTGCAGTCCTATAATATAATTAATATTATATATATATATGTATAGGGGGTATTTAGGATCGTTCCTCCGAATGGCTTCTTTCGTGAACGGAGCCATCCCCGGAAGGTCTTTGGATGGCATGCTGCAGATGCGTCGGAACAGGAATGTCTTGACATGCTTGTTGAACGGTCAGTGTGGGTGGCTGGTCTGGGCTTTGGGTGGCTGAAAGATGCTGCCACATGCAAAATACCTACATTTACAGCTTCCGCTAAGTGGACCGCAACAAAGTGAATGGTCTACTACCAAAACAGGTGTGGACAAGCTGTGTTTAATCTATGGCAAAAAAGGGGTATTTCAATAGGATGACCGCAACTAAAATGAATGCTCTTCTAAAACAGGTGTGGACCAGCTGTGGTTCATCAAAAACACAGGGTATTTCAATAATTGGAAGACCATCCACCAGTGGGTCGACTGGTCCATTTTCCTAACCTCCCAGGAACGTCGGTCTCCCGAACGCACTGGGGGAGAACCAAGGTTTCTCGGTAGGTGGGAGCCTACCTTCAAACGCCAACCATCTTCCAGGTTTCGCAAGTACACTCCAGACCACGCGCATGGACGCGGGATGGTCAGTAACACCTAGCTAGTGAAAGTTAAGGCTGTTGTCCTCCGGGCGCCAGTGGTTTTCAGGGTCCATGTTGGTCTCCCAAGGGGTCTGATCCCACCGTGGACTCATGTGGACTCTGTCATTCCTTCGAAGAGCTCAAACGAGCAGGAAGAGCTCAAAGCTTGTTTGTCCGGATCATTTCCTCCAAGTCCAGATCGTTTCCTTCAAGTTCAAATCGATCACCCGGAAGTACAAGGTACACTCTAGATCACCCGGAAGTCTTGCTGTTGATTGACACTCCGCTGTTGCATTCTCGACTTGTTGGAGGCCCACCAAGCTTACGAGTCGCCCAACGATCGATTGGTTTTATCTGGCTCAGAACTGGCGCAAATTGATCAAGCCAGTAATCTGCCATGTGATGTTTTCCATGGCTGAACCAACTTACATCACTTCCTGTCGATCTCCGATCTTCGTTTGGCCCAAGGATGCTCATGCCAAACATCCTGCAAGTGCCAAACATCCTTCCAACTAGTTCTTCATATAGACACAATTGCACAAACCCAACTTAAGACGGGGACGCGTATTGTTGACATGAGGAATGCTCAAATTCTGAAAGGGAGCATGCGGGCGTTGGGTCAGTAGAAGTAATTAGGGTTTGGCGGTTTGTCGAATTGTCCACTCTGTGGATTAACAACTCAGCGTGAAGCCCCATCCCTAACAGAGCATCTCGTGTGAGTGAAAACCAAAAAATAAATACAAACAAACACTTGGTCCTGTTTCTATAGCTATTGTAATGTGTTTTCTTTTAAAGTTGTGTTTGCAATCTTAGAGCGGGGATGAACCTCGTACACTAGATTTAGGATTCATCCTGTCAGAATGTCTTTGAACATGCGGGTCCATCAGGATGCACCTTGTTGGAAACATTTAAGGGTCTGGCACTTCAGCTAACTAGGGTTCAAAGAATGGTTAGATGACTCAATGGATGATTCATGAAGACGCGGGTTCTACTGTATTGGTCTGCATCTTGGCACTATCAGAAGGGTCGAAGAAGAAATCGATCCAAATCCGCTGGTCAGGTGACTGAGCTCGTTCTGCCCATGGCATACAAGAAGAAAAAGGCACGTCTAAACATCCCCGAAACATCCCCTCCAGGTCATGGCCGTCGGATGAGAAGTTCAACGAAGAAAGCGACGAGAAATGGCCGTCGGCTGTGGCAGTCACAGGACTTCATCCCGGATCCACGGATCCAACCTCTGAGGTATGGTGATCGGCGACTCTTTTACGTCTTTGATGTAGGACCCTAAGACCCCGGGCCCGAAGCAACACAAATGGTTTGGTTCAGGCCCGGACCCCGTTTCGGTGGAGAAGGTCCGACCCCTGCCATGGAGAGCTCAAGGATTTTTAGTTGATGATGTAGGGCTTAGAGTCTTAGAGGATCCAAGTATCTCCACCATCCGAGAAGGTAGGTGGATGCGGAGCCACAAACGCCCAAAGTTCGGCAGATGGGGTCGAGACAGCATCCCACAAGCGAAGCACGCTGTCAGGGACTTTCAAGCTCAGCAAAACACCCAGGTCTACAGGAAACGATGGTGTTCTGTTCAGCCCTAAAACAATGCCCAAACACTCCATGTATGGAACCTTTAACTTGAAACCTCCCCAATGTATGTACTAAGTTGCAAATATTCCATAGATGGAGTGTCTGGGATGGCTTTCCGCCGATTCCCTTTCAGCTGATGGCTTTGTGGCACTGGCTGTTGTCGATACTCCGAGGTCGACAGGAGGCTTTGCACATGAGACATGTGTACTTCGCGAATCTTGATACAACTGTCTGCGAGCATTGCAACTGTTCTTCCAAGAAATTGGTATAGCCTCAAGCAAGCCTGGAGAAACTCCTTCTTGTTGGTTAGTTGTTGGCTGTTGGCTGTTGTCGTTGTTGTTGTTGTTGTCGTTGATGATGTTGTGGTTGTTGCTATCGGCGTCCTCCCTGGTCTCTGTCAAATGCCTATCACACGCACCACTCAGTGGCTGACAATATGTCACGAAGTACATATGCTTTCTAAACATTGAATTCGTCGGCAGCCAAAGCACACTACTGCACAGCACGGAGCCAAGTTCTTCCTCTTCATGACATGCAGAAACTGGATAGGAACGGCCAATCCTTTCACCGTGCATTCCATGGACATTTGGAAATGGTACACATGAAGGTGGATCTTCGCGGATTATTTTTCGTATCCCCACACCGACTTCGTCGTGCCTCCGAAACGCTTCGGTACGACTGGAGGCCAAACGGGTATGGTCCTTCAATCAAGGAACCTCCCGGACTGGTCGGGTCGGGTCGTTCGGAAAACTCCTCCGGTCGTTGCTAGAGGTGAAGAAGTGCTCCCGGTCGTGTTGCTGTTCAGGCGCATTCCTTTGTCTGTTCTGAACAGGCCCTCTGTTTCTTGCCTGCTGGACCGCTAAATCTTGAGAGCAGGTGTGCTTGGGAGAGCATGCACTAGCTCAAAACCTATCTAAAACACTGCAAATACCGCGCAGCAATCTAAACAACTGCTCTGAGACCTAGGCGAAACGCATATTGTCTATCTTCCTATGCCAAATTTCTATGTGCAATGTCAATGTGCAAAATCTTAATGATATGCACTATTAGTTTGACTCATCTTTGTTCAATATCAATAACTGCCTGATAACTAAGTTGTATTTTGTTTGTTGTCAATATCAATATCGGTCAAAGCTGTTTGGTTTAGAATTTTGAAAGGATTGATATCAAATATGCAGACTTCCGCTTCTACGCTCTCCCCTCAGAAAATTCACCTTGATCCCACAGGACCTTTCTATTGTTTCAATAGATGTTACATGTTATGATCGATTAATTCTATTATTCCATCTATGCATTAATTTCTTTGATGTCCTTGGTTCATGGGCAAACAGCAATCCAAATAACACAGCCTTCATTGCAGTTTGACTTTGGCTTTGGCTGGCATCTTGTCCAAAACAAGAGAAAAAATAACCATGATAAGGCAACCAAAAAGAAATATATGTATTTTTGTGCCTAGGCATAGTCTAGCTCCTTACCTTCTTCGAAAGAGCTAAGCCAAACAAAACAACTTGACCAAGAAAAAGGCCTTGTGAAGACTGAAGCAGCCTTCCTTTTTTTGGTGCTCAATGTTTAAGGCACGTTACGTTTGAACTTGTAGAACACCTTAAGCAAGACAAATACAACCTACTGGAGCAATAGAAACACTTATTGAGACAGGATACCAAAAGAAACAATTTGTTGGCTGGATAGAATTTAGTTAATTGATGCTGTTGCAACTTGGTCTAGGTCATTAGCTTCTTTAGTAATCCGGTCCTTTAATTGAAACCTTAATGCTCTTAAAAAGGCAATTTATATAAGTGTTTGCACATGTTCTGCGTGAAACAACATCTCCCAGGAGCACTCGTTCTGTAAATCGTGTTACCTTTGCTTTCCTCTCTCTCTATACCCAAACAATCCATGTATGGAATACGTGCCTCAGTGGTCTCAAGATGTTAGGGTCGAGACCAGTCCCATAGAGATGTTAGTCGTCCCATGGATTGTTGGGGATATACATGTATGTAGTTGTATGTATATGCTTTGTTCTATCTCATATTATCACATATACATGTACATATATTCAATATATATATATGTTATATGAATAAATTCTTCTTTAACCGCTTTGGCTCCAGTGTCGGTGACATGGCGCCACGTTTTTGGCATGTTCTCCGCCTCAGTCGTCACCGTCGCCGTCGTAAGACGATGCCGCGGAGGAGGCGCAGGGCGGCCTTGTCGCGAAGCGGTCTGCAGAACTCGCGGAACTGTGAGGGGTTGGTGGAAACCTTTCGTTGCAGTTGAAAACTAGCTGAAAATCACTGAAGGGTCTGTTTTTATTGATGGAAAACGCATGTTTTTTGTTGCTTTTTGTGACAGTTGTGGGGTCTGAAAACATGCTGAAAACGTATGTTTGTTTTCCTGAAGAAATGTGGAACCGTCTTGCCCAGCTTGTTGATGGAAAGTGCTTGCATGATGATATGGCAATGGCAACTTGGTCCACAATTCGTCAGAAACATCGGGAAACACATGAGTCTATACAGGACCCTCACAGGTCACCACCTGCAACATTGAAGTCTCCAGTACAACCTCCCCTTCGACCTGTTGGAAGGTGCTTGAAATCGATGGAACATCATGGAACCAAATCATTTCAACAAACGAAGCAGTCAAAGTGGAGCTTCCACTC